CTCGCGCCGCAGCACTTTAGGGAAACTGCTTGGATTGCGATGGTTTGCAAGGCAGCTGCAGGGGCACTGAGTTTGCAAAGGGAGCTCAGTGGTTTGGGACACGCTGCAGGCACTCGCTGCACGGGGAGCTCAGTGGTTTGGGACACGCTGCAGGCACTCGCTGCACCTCCTGGGGCTGGCCCCGACAGAGGGGAGTGAGTAAGCAGGCTGCGGCCCCGGTAACACCCCCCTGCTTCCGTGGTGCTCCCCAGAATCCTGGGACATGTGAGTCAGGCCAGTGGCTGCCCCGGGCCTGCCCCAGCCCCTTGAGTGATGGAGTGTTTGCAAAAAGGTTCATTCACATTACAGCCCCCAACAGGAGCACTGGGTGCTTCACCCCATGTGAAGCCCTCTCCTGTCCCCCAAGGATGGCCACAGCAGCGTGTCTCGTGTACGAGTTCCACAGCACTGGGGTGGTGAGCACGTCCCTAGCCTCGCGACGCTCACTGAGCGCTATCATCGTTATTACCGTGCCTGTCTCCGCTGGTTAGCAGTCTTATGATATGAGCCACCTTATGGAAGCAATCACAGTGCGGGCACAGCTGTTGTGCCTGTGAAAACTTGTATTTGCATAAGCAAAATGGATAACTGGACACCTCAGTGCCTGTTTGTGAAATAAATTGCCTATTTTGATGTGCAAACATACATTTCTATCCATCTCTGAAAGTCTGCCCAGCAGGGCTACCACTCTTGGAAATGTCAGGCAGCGTAAGGAAAATCACATTACAAGCCCAGAACCGCCACACACTGGTGTCATCAGGCAACACTAACATGCTCGCATCATGTGTAACCTCCTGACACGGCTTGGTGGGGCTGGTAGCACTTGCAATAAGTAGCCTGCACGGTACAGCGTGTGACACTCAGACCAGAGGCCAAGCGCGTCTCTCTGTAGCTGCCAGGAACGTGCCCTTCTCAGAGCCTTCCCAGCACCCAGCTTCATGAGACTGTCCTGCTGATAAGAGCCATCACTGTAGCCCAAGGCTGACCCTGGAGCCTCCCGAAATATGAGTTACTGAAGGCTCGGGCCGCCATCCGCAGAGAGGCTGCAACTGGCTTTAGCACTGCACTCCAGGCACAGAGCCTGTGTGCTGGAGACTGCAGTGAGAAGAGGCAAAAGGCGCACTGAGCAAGAGATCACACTCTTGAGACCACCTGAGGCCTATCAAAACCCAGCCCTAAAGGGGAACCCCTTATACCCCCATGTACACAGAATTTTCACTCCCCTCTTCCTTTTCTCAAACAAGTCTAATAATATTGCCTAATAAGTGCCTAAGAGCCTGAACAATCTGCAGCTGATTGGCAAATGTCTGTACTAAGCCATAGACTTTTGAGTATAACCAAAGTTTACTGACACTTTTCCAAGGCGGGAATATATATATATATATATATGAAAAAAAATCATAGCTTTCCTCATACCACAGATTTTCAATTTTATGTTACTGGACTCACAATGGAGATGAAATTCATTCCACTGTACTCACCCCATGCACAGAGATGTGGAACCCATTTAAATGAATGAGATTTTTTTTCCCCATGGGGCTTGCAGAGAAAGTGCAGAGAACACTGACTACTTTTTACACCTCTGCAGGGCCCAGGTGTCACAACTTTGTAAACATGGAAGGAGAATGGCAAGATTTTGGACAATGGCTAAAAGGAGTTTGAAGACTCTTCAACTGTAGCAGCTCTCACAAATGAAAGCAATAAAGATGTGCAGCATTATCCTCTACTCACAGGGAGAAAAAAAAAAAAAGGACCTTAATTTCTAGACCTGTGATTGTGGATGAGCTTGAATCAAACAAACCAGGACATAGCTGTTTTCCTGTATCTGCAGACACAGCTCAGTAGGTCCTTGCCATCCAGAACACTTTCCAAAAGAAAAAGTAAATTTGCCTGATGCCTGAGCATTTTATTGTTAGTTGCCAGCATCAGGAAAAAAGCTCACAAAATGCTGATTATAGATTAAACTTCTGGAATTGGGAATTGGTGTTCTTCACAGGCAATGAGGGCTTAAAAATAAATGCTCAGGGAAGACTGGAGATCTCCCATTAACACAAAAGATTCATCCACAGTGGAATTTCCAACTCACGGCTGAAATGCTGTCCTGACAAAATTTTGGTCCTAGGAAACTATTCCAATTTAGGCAAAAGAAACAAGGCCAAGATGGACAGCGAATAATATGGCGTCTATATCATGATACTAGCTGAGCACGGGCCTGTGGCCCAGTGCCCTCTAGCTCTAGATAAAAACAATAGCCTCTAAAAATTGAGGGAAATGTTGACAAGTACTGATCTTTCTTGTTAGACACGACTATACCCTGTAGCAGTCATATCATAACATATCATATCAGTCACTTCAAAAAATACATACCTGGAATCCTAGCGAATTTCCACTGGGGAGAGAGAGGTCTGCATGTTTTGGCAGCAAGGTGAGGTCTGAGGAAGGGCAGCAGCAGCAGCAGTGTGTTAACCCAGTCATTTCCTTCCTGCAAGGGTAGACTTCTTTGTGGGCTCTCTGCCTGTGGAAGGAAAGAATATTTGAGGCACATTTGTATACAGAGAGCTTACTCTAATAAACTGCTTGCTCTGTGTTTGTTGATGAATGGCTTCTTCAGGCACACAGGTGTGCTGAGAATTACAAAGCTTAATAAAACAAAGGGACATTAGGACAAGCCTGGACAGGAGCATTTCCTTGGGACAAATGCTTATCTCAGCCAGAAAGGAGATATATAAGTGTGTAATTTTTCAGCAAAATGTTTCTTAAGTAGAAGTCCTATTGCAACTTGCAAAGAGGCAAGTGTGAATATGCTTAAATGGAGGCTGGACTGTGACTTACATGTAGGAATCACTTTTTATTTTGGTTAATGCCATCAGTGTTAAGTAGTGATCTCACAGCAGCATAAAGTCTAATAAGACTGTTGTAGTCCCTTCCTCATTGCCGTTAGCTCTGCCAGCTATATGGCAAATTACTTATATGCCTCATTCCAGCCAGTCAAACATAAATGAAGCTTTTAAATCTCCAAAAAGATACAGAGTTACTAGAATAGTTTACTTATCCCTAGAATAGTTTACTGGCAGATGAAAACAAGACAGACTTTCCAAACTTTAGATCCAGAGACCATTCTGGACTTGGAATGAACCTCAAACTTCAACAATACTTGAATACACCATTTTGGTTGCAAACACTGAAATTGTTTTAAAACCTTAAACTTGGACTGCAGTTCAGATTAGGAAAACCACAAATTTTAGAAAATGCGTAAAAACAGTATGTAGATTAGGGTTAATCTATAGTAAGCAAAAAATTAAATATTGAAACCAATGTGTTGTTGAACATGCCAACAAAAATACTTCAGGGAAGCTGTAATGTAATGGAATAGAGCTATCCATATTATAAATCTAGCTGCTGAGCTTTGTAAAGCAGCAGACAGTGTAAAGAATGAAAACAAATAACAATTTAATAATGAATTACAATAATTGAGTCAAGAGGAAGCCAGGACATGAACCATGGCCTCAGAGCCCAACTGAGTTAAAATAGTACAGAGAGTGGAAATATATAATTTCAGACAATTCTGGTTGCTTATTTCTAAAGGTGAACTGAGAGATTTTTAAATTACACGACCAGAGTCCAGGGCTGTGTATTTTTCCCATTGATGAAATCACTAACACCAAAATGGTGCAGCTCTTGTCCTGCTTTAGAGCAAACAATATAAGCACAGCAGCCCATTCTTTCTACCAATAGCAATAATTCTTAGCACCGCTGACTGAAACAAATTACTGTGAAAACCATTTGCGTGGTTGCTTTTTAAAATATTTTGCACTACAAATTTTGCAGCATTACAATGATTGTCTGGTGGGGAAAAAAAGGGGGGAAATTCCTATTCAATTTCCCCAGAATCTCTTTTCCTGGGTTTGTCAAAATTACAGATCTCTGAGGACTTCTCATGTAAATGATAATTACTTAAAATGCAAAAGGTATATCTAATTCCCCCTCTCCACTTTGGCCAAGATTTCTAATAGTATTTAG